AAATCTTGTTGTGAAAGGTCAGTCAGTAAGAGCGGCCAGAATCGGGTTCAGGTCTAAGGCCAAAGCTCTGTGCTTCCCGTCCCACAGAACACACTACTTCTGGCCTCTCCCTCGCAGTGTGCGGGCTGTCCCGTCTGAGCTGTGAGACCACAACCTCCATGAGGGGCACCTGCCCGTGGTGCCCTTCCCAGGGGACGTCTCAGAAGTTGTCCCTGTTTCCTCTCCTCATTTGGTTCATAGAAGAGCCAGGACCTGTTTTCATTATTTTCGTTCCCAGTCTGAACACTTCTGCTTTCTCCCCCCCCCAACCCAGCTTCACCTGGTCATTATGAAAACACCGTCTCCCGACATCTGGTGCTCTAACAAGCTTTGCTGGGAGGAGGCAGTACCTGCTGACCTCAGTGCGAATTAAAACATATCAAAGAGCCCAAGTTTCAAAGTCGTCAGACCTTCCTTTCCATGAAGAGGAACTCTATTTTCACTCATGCCCCAGCGAGAGATTAGCAGCTTGAAATCACTTTGACAGTGTCAGTTGCTCTGTTGCATACCACAGGGAATTTTAATTCCAGCCTGTGAAATTGTAATTGCTTCTTAAGGAGAAGTGAAGGATCCTGGGTAATGGCCACAGAAAGCTCCATGTCAGAGTTGCCAGTTGCTGCCACATCATATATTACTTGCTGTTATTCAAAAATCACTCCAGCTTTCCATATGGGAAATTGAACTGGGGAGTAAAAGTAAATTAACAGAAACTGTCAGCTGTTCGGAACAGCACAGAGAGCAGTGCAACATAGGTGGGTGACCTCCCATGCAAAAAGGTGACTTTTTCTCTTTTTTTTTTTTGTTAAGATAAAGAGTGTCACAAACAAATTTCATTACTTAAAGTATGCTGCTAAGTGATGTCATTATTAAGCGAAAAATTATCTGGTCCATGGCATGATAAGATTAAAAGCTGCCAAAGTCTGCTCACGCTTTCCTGGAAAGAGTGGGGGCGGGTTGGCGGAAAGCGGCCCAAAAGAGTAATTAAAATAATGAAGACAGCAAGTCCATGTCAGGTGGATGTTTGCGATGGACTGAAATTACCTGATATCAAAGTTAAACTGCCTGAGAAATTGTTTCCTGGCTGTGTTTGGAATAAAGGGAATCCGGAGCTGCCACAGCCGGTCGCCAGCTCTCCAGAGACAGACAGATGGACAGAATGATCTGCGCGGGACGACCGCTACCCGCTAGGCTGGGAAGGCAGGGCAGGTTCTGACAGGTACTGAGTGGTTCTGAAATCAATTTTTTTTTCTAAGGAGGGTCAGAAAGAAGGCTAAATATAATTGACTAAGAAAAAGATATAGTCTGTGGCATTGCTTTTTTGTTTTAGATATTAGAGAAAATTCAGACTTGGGCTTGGCTTTTCATCATTTGATATTTTTAGGGCATATTTTCATGTGTTAGGAATTTCATGTCACCTCTCCCCCGATCTTCTGCCACTGTCTCCCCAGAATTCAACCCCACCTGTTGCCTGGCCGAACGCACTCACCGCTGAGCACACGCCGTTCTGCTGTACACGCCTTGCCTGCCCTGTGATTTCATGACCCCTGCCCCCGAGCCCTTCCAAGTACTTAGCAGCCTTTGCCTCCATCTTTGGTGGCCCCCACCCCGGTTCCTGTGGAAAGCTTTCGTGGACCGACCCTGTCTGGGTAAGGTGACCCTCCTGCGCTTTGATAATCCCTTGTATTTCCTGCCTGGAGGACCTGGGTTACGACTGCTCCCAAGCCTCACAAGGTGGGGATGGTGTCTGTCTTGCTGACTTTTCTTATCCCGGTGCCAAGCACGCTATGTGGCACCTATGGAGTGCTTGCCAGCAGGACTCCAGAACCACACTGCCTGGGTTATAATCTTGACTCTCCCACGTACCAGCTAACGAGCTTGGACAAGTCACCTCTCCATGCCTCCACTCCCTCATCTAGACTCACAGTTCCTTCTTCAGGGTGGCTCTGAGGGTTAAATAATCTCATGGGTTTAAAGTGTTTGGGACAGTACCTGGCTCTCTGTAAACCAAGGGTGTCAAACTCATTTTCCCTGGGGGCCACATCAGCCTCGAGATTGCCTTCAAAGGGCCGAATGTCATTTTAGGACTGTAAAAATGTAACTACTCCTTAACTAGGGGCAAGTTGCTCGGTGCTGTTGCCCGGTAGGAACATGATGCCGGGCCGGGGAAAACCAGGTGGAGGGACGGATTCGGCCCACGGGCCTTGTGTTTGCCACCTGTGCTGTAAACTGTAGCTACTATGATGAGGGCGATGATGGTGATGATCAGGAGGAGGAGCATAGTATTATTTCTATTACTATTGCTGCTACATGCATCAAAGGTACTCTTGGCTACTGCTTCAGTTGGCCTTGAATCTTGTGCCAACCCAAACAACTCTCCAATGTGATTCCAAAAACCAGTAATGGTAAATTGCGATGACTTCAGCTTCCTCCACAGTGGTCATCTAGGACACTTCTCCTTATTTCTGTTGTATCCCAGAATCTCCATCCCTGTTCCTGCTCCGACAATAGAACAGAAACTCCAATACTACGGTTCAGCCGTATTCTCTTATTGCCTGGGAGAGTGCTTCCCAGCTCCAGTCCCAAGTGCCAAATCCTAACCCCAAGGGCTGAGAAATTATCCCTATTGATAGAGGATGAGTTTGGGCGTTTCATCATTTAAAGTTGTATAGAATGACAGGCAATGTTTAAGGTAACAGAATTAAGGAGTGAGCAATCCTGGTGGTCCTGGGCCCCAGGAACGCTCAGGGACTCAGTGGGTGGCCATCCCCTGCACGCACTGAGCAGTCCAAAGCTGCTGCAGGGAATCTGGCCCAATCGAAGGTTCCAAACCTGGTGGAGAGTAAAGAGGGCCACTGGGTCTGTCTTAGGAGGAAAATAGCAAGGTCGGCACTGTTCTGGGTGCACAAAAGGCAGGGCTTCCGGATCTGGAGCCTAAAATCAAGAGTGAAGATCACTGTATCACAAAACATAACACAGCTGTAAAGAAAGGTCTATAAACTCAGGTGTGTAAGGAATATGAATTCCTTTTCATAACTCCAGTGTGGTTTCTTTTTATAACTCAGCTTTTTCTGACCCTGTTCCAGTCAGGAGGCAGAAGCTGATCTGTGTCCGCCCAGCACCCCTCAGGCCTTCTCAGTGGGGTTGGGATGAAGAACTCAGAATGGAGATAACTGCAGAGGACACCCGGGCCCAAGCTGGCCCCAGGCTGTGCAGACATGATCTTAGCTGCCAGGGGAGACTCGCAAGACGCACAAGTTATGATACAGCTCTGGACACAGGTAAGTCCAGAGTTCCACCCCAAAGCATCTCAACACCAAAGAGAACAGTTGGGATATTTGTTTAAAGATGCTGCAAACTAGAGAGAGAGCCTTAAACAAGGCCCTTGACATCCTGTAACCTCAGCTTCTCCTTCTGTAAGAGGGTGCCACTCTGCAGTCTCTTTGCACCCCTCTTGCTCTCATTCTAGGCTGACCTGCAGGGCTCGCCGCCCTGCCTTTTCAGATGAGACCAGGTCCCAGGAGAAGAGGAGCGACCGACACGGATTCCCTTTCACCAAGCGCTGAGAAACAGCACTGTTTCTGTGCAGCCTCCTCAGATCTCAACTCCAATGTCAAATATTAGTGTAAGAAAGTTTAAATTCTCTGACACATTATTGAGAAACAGAGGCTGTTTAGGATTGATTACCAAAAGGCAGCCAGTGGTGACCTTCTGGGGATTTACATCTGTGACTTACTTCATGTTGGGTTGCCACAGGTTTTGCTTTTAATATTCACTGGAGTTACTGCGACTCCTCAGACAGACAGCTTGACTTTGCCACATAGCGTGAGGGAAAGGTGGTATTAAATCACTTTTGTTCCCACTTTCCTTCTGATTTGTGCGTCTAAAGGCACTAAAAATATCCTTCAACCTGAAATACAGCATTGTTAGCTCCTGAGTTTTCTTAGAGCTTGTGTAACTCTGATTGCCCCAAGGCAAGCTGGTGTGATAAGATTAATTTTTTTAGACTGGCATCTAACCAACTTTTGCTTTTTGTAAGATTGTTTTAGCACTTTCAATTTTTCTAACATCAAATATCTTGGAGGATGTGTGTTGAGGGGCAGAAAGAGAAGGGGGTCTTAATTGGAAGCATGAGAATCTTCCCTTACATGAGTGGGGTTAGAGATCTTAAACTTAGGAGGAATGTGTAGCAGGGAAAACTGTCTGAGAATCAGAGATGAGGAAGATATGAACCCATGGAAGGTGAGACGTGATCAAGGGCAATGGCCATAGCAAACCTTCCTGTGGAAGTTGGCAGATCACTCTCTTCTATGACACAAAGCCCAAGACATCTTGGATGTTTCTCCATTTAAAAGCCTATTTTATGCCCTGGCTGGTGTGGCTCAGTGGATGGAGCTCTGGCCTGCAAACCAGGGGGTCGCTATTTCAATTCCCAGTCAGGGCACATGCCTGGGTTGCAGGCCAGGTCCCTGGTGGCAGGTGTGTGAGAGGCATATCTCTCCCTCTGTTTAAAAAAAAAAAGGGGGGGAGCATGTTTTTAAAGATCCTTTTGCTTTTTCAAGATGGCAGCAGACTCCACAAACTCCATCTTTTAGTTTGTTTTCTGTTTTATTTCTGATTTTACTCTCAGATATGGAACCAAATGAGATGTGATATTCACTACTCACTCACCATTGTTTCCTGGGTGAGAGACCATTCTGTAATCTGGGTTACCTTCTCTGGCTCAAACATAATGTTGAGGCCAAATCAGTCTGCGTTTTCTGGTCATCTTGTAGACATGACAAGTTTTCACACTTCAGGGAGCCAATATTCAGGAATTTAGAGTCGTCCTCTAAAGTTAGGAATCAGGGGTAGTGGATCATGAATTGGTGTCTTGAGCAGCAGAAATCACACTGGCAAAAAAACCCAAACCAAACAAAAAATTCTAAAACACCAGAAACAAAAAACCAGGAGCATCTGCTCTCTAAGATCACAGCACAGGTGGCACTTTGGTTAAGTATTCACACCCATTTATTGAGAATAGAGTATACAAATTGTTAACTGAACAGGTGTATTAACAGAATCTGAGATACAGAAGATCAAAATCAGGAAGCTGAGCCACTCACTTGGGTCGCAGTCGATAAGCAGAGAAGGCGGCAGGTGTAGAGGGACAGGGGGTTGCTAGGTTCCCAGGATACATTCCGTGTGAAAGTGCCAAAGCAAAGACTAAGGGCCAAAGATGCTGAACTATAAAGATAGGAGCTTGACTCTTACTGAAGCACTTTTCTAATTAAAATAATGGCGGGATCCACACATCCGGTTTTACTTATGCTACAGCAACAACTGTAAAACAAACCCTCCGTGTCAGCAACGAGAGTGTCGGTAATAGAATGGCAGGAACCACCACCAACGGGCTGTGCTGAGGCTTGCTAACAGCTCTCATGGACAGATTTATGGACATGGACAGATTTATAAGCTTGGCAGCATTTAAAAAAAACTCAAACGCAAGGGTAGGGATTTAACTCTCCCTAAAACTTGCTTCACTGTCCCTGGGAAAGTGGTTGCTACACCATCGTTTCCAAGTGTCAGTTTAGGGTGAGGTGAGGGATGCCCTCGGGCCTGCAGCAGCACAAGGAAAAGGAACCGTCCCCCACACAGTCACTGTTTATCTTTCCAGATGGGAACCTCCACAGGGCCTGCAAGGTTTAGAAGTCTCTTTAGAAGCCTATGAACAGCGAGATCAGGAGGGAACCACAGAAATGGAGATGACATGGAGGGTTAGCAACAGGGGAGTGGGAGAAGGAGAAGGGGGGAGAAGGTACAGAGAATAAGTAGCATAGACAGTAGGTAGAAAATAGATAGGGGGAGGGCAAAAATAGTATGGGAAATACAGAATCTAAAGAACTTGAGACACGTGGTCATAAACTAAAGGGGGGAATGGTGGGGGAGGGGTGTGCAGGGTGGAGGGGAATGAAGGGGCAAATAGAACAACTGTAATGGCATAATGGATAAAGCATATTTTTTTTTTTTTAAAGAAGCCTACAGTGACTCGTCCTGAGTGTTGAAAGAAGTCTCGGTTCCTCAAAACAGCATGAAAACCCTTCACAATGTGACCTGAGCCTAATTCTTACTTTAATATCTACTTACTTCTCTTATAGATGCTTCACTCTCAAATTCACCATGCACTTTTATTTTTCACTTTTTAAAAGATTTTATTTCTTTTTTTACAGAGGGGGAGGGAGGAAGAAAGAGAGAGAAATATCAATGTGTGCTTCCCTCTGGAGCACCCCCAACTGGAGACCTGACCCTCAATCCAGGCATGTGCCCTGACTTGGGAATTGAACTGGTGACCCTTTGGTTTGCAGGCCAGCACTCAGTCCACTGAGCCACACCAGTGAGGGCTCACCATGCACTTTTACACCAAAATGCCTTTTTTCCTTTGGTAAAAATATGCATAACATTTATCATTTTAACCATTTGTAAGTATATAATTCAATAGCATTAAATACATTTACAGTGTTGTGTAACCATCACCATTTTTTCTATGTAGAACCTTTTTATCATACCCGACATAAACTCTGTACCCATTAAAAATAACTCCTCAGTTCCTTCTCCCTTCAACTCCTGCCAACCCCTATTCTACTTTCTGTCTCTGTGAATTTGTCTATTCTAGCTACCCATGCAAGTGGTATCATGCCATATTTGTCTTTCAGTGTCTGGCTTATTTTACATAGCATAATGTTTTCAAAATTCATCCGCACTGTAGCACGTTTCAGAAATTCACTCCTTGTTAAGGCTGAGTAATAGTCTATCATATGTATGTTCTACATTTTGTTTATGCATTCATCCGTAAATAGACACTTGCAATGTTTCCCCCTTTTGGCTATTGTGAATTATGCTGCTGTTAGCATTGGTGTACAGATGTCCCTGCTTTCAGTTCTACTGGATCTGTAACTAGGAGGGAAACTGCTGGGTCATATGGGAGTTTTAAATTTTGAAGAACTGCTGAACTATTTTCATCAGCAGTTGCACCATTTTACATTTCCACCACCAACATGTAAGGATTACAACTTCTCCACATCTTCATTAACGTGTTTTTGTTAGTTTCCATTTTTTTTTATGGCAGCCACCCTAATAGGTGTGAAGCAGTATCTCGTTGTGATTTGATTTGCATTTCTCCAATGAGTAATGATGTAGAGCATTTTTCATGTGCTTATTGGCCATGGGTGGATCTTTGAAGAAATGTCTATTTGAGTCCATTTCTTAATTGGGTTGTCTGCTTTTTGGTTGTTGACTTACAGTTCTTTATACAGAGGTGGGGAAAGTAGGTTTACAGTTGTATGTATGTGAAACACAAGTCTATTCTTGTATTATTTATTATTGTTTTATCTTCCATATTAACAATTGTAAACCTGCTTTTGCTCACCCCTCCTGTATATTCTAGATATTAATTTCTTGTCAGACATACAAATGCGGATATTTTCTTGTGTTATGTAGGTTATCCTTTTGCTTTCTTAATGTTGTACTTTGATGCACAGTTCTCAATTTTAATGAAATCCTATATATCTATAGTTTTCTTTTGCTGCCTGTACTTTTGGTATCATATCTATGAAACTGTTACCAAATCAAATGTCATGAAGGTTTTCTTCTAAGAGGTTCATAATAATATATCTTAATTTATTTAGGTATTTTACCTATTTCAAGTTTTTACGTGATATAAGGTAAGTGCCCAACTTTATTCTTTTGTATACAGATGTTCTGTTTTCCCAACACTGTTTTTAAGAAGACTGACTTTTCTCTGTTGAATAGTCTTGGAATCCTTAAAAATGACCATATATGTGAGGGGTTTATTTTTGAAATCTTTTTCCTTTCTGTTGGTCTTCATGTCTATTCTTATGCCAATACCATATTGTTTTAATTATGGTAGCCTTGTTGTGCATTCTGAACTTGGGAAGTGTTTGTGAGCTTTTCAACTTTATTGTACTTCAAGATTGTTTTGTCTATTTGAGGTCCCTTGAAATTCCATTTGAATTTGAGGGTTGGCTATTCCATTTCTATGAAAAAGGTTGTTTTGATAGGGATTGTGTTGAATTTGTAGTTTGCTTTGGGTAGTGTTGGAAGCCACCATGCCTGGTTTCAGGAGCTGTAACTCCCCCATGGCTAAGGCTGAGTGAGCGACCTTTGGACCAGAGGCCACTAAGGAGACAAAGCTTATCTCCCTGGCATGAGCACCACTTCTCCTTTTACTTCATCCACAACTGGCCCCTAATGCTTAATCAGTTAGCGAATGATGGGCTAGATTCCCCAAGGAGGTAACGACCTAAGACAGGCATGATCACGTGGAGGTCCCAGGGAAGGACTTGGGGGGCTATGGAGAAAGGGGGTGATGGACTCTCGCCCCTTGGCTTTGACAAAGCCTGACTCCCCTGAGTCCACAAGAAGTCTCTGAAAATTTGTTGGCTATCTGCCTCCTCTGCCTGACTTAAGCTCGAAACAACGACAGAAGGCGGTGAAGCCCTGTGCTAGAGAGGGTGGGCTCCCCAGGTGATCAGGCCTGAGAAAGGATATGTAAAATCCCGTGAAGCCTGCTTTGCTAAGAATGTTCTTAGTTAAATGATAAAGGCCCGAGCAGGAAATGAGTTTGTTTCCCAAAGTTTTGTAGCCTTTTAGCTAATAGACCCTGACTCAGAAGAAGCCCTAATAGTTATTTGTATGCTATCTACTGTTTGATCCTTACTGCCTGACAATGATTAATGAGCTGTACCTGTAGTCCTGCATAAATTAAACCCAATAAAGCCTGTCTAGGCAAGGGTCAGCGTGCTCTACCCTTGAGAGTGGCCAGGCCATTCTGAGGCGCTCCCCCCTTGAGGGAATAGCTGTGCCGTCCCTTTTCTTCCACAGGACTCGGTAGTCCATGCGAATTTGTCTCATGTCTCATCCATGTCCCGCAGGTACTGAAGGGCGGTGCACGCATCAGGGTAGAATTAATTTAACCATGTTAAAACCATGGTTGAACTATTCAACATTTTAAACATGTCTTCCTCTCCATGAATAGGGTATCTTTTTACTTATTTAGATATTTTAAATTTCGTTCAGTGATATTTTATAGTTTACAGTATACAAGTTTCTCACTCCCTTTGTTTGGTTTATTGCTCAATATTGTTTTAAATGCTCTTGAAAATAAAACTTTCTTAAATTTTTTTGGATTGTTCACTGCTAGTGTCTAAAAAAAAACAACAGATTTTTGTGCATTGATCTTTTAATGAACTTTGCTGAATTTATTAGCTCTAAAAGTTTTCTTGTGGATTCTCTCTAGGACCATGTCATATGCAAATATAGTTTTGCCTCTTTGCTTTCAGTTTGGATGCCTTTTGGTTGTTTTCCTTGGCTAATAGCTCTCATGTGGACTTCCAATGTAATGTCGAATATTAGTAGTAAAAGCAGGCATCCTTGCCTTGTTCCTGATCTTAGGGGGCAAGCTTTCAGCCTTTCACCACTTGCATATAGTATTGGCTGTGGGTTTTTTATAAATACCCTTTGTATTGAGGAGTTACCTTTGTACTCCTCATTTTCCAAGAGATTGTCTCACGAAAGGATGTTGGACTTTGTCAAATGCCTTTGCTCTGTCAGCTGAGGTGATCACATTTCTCTCCTTCATTCTATCAATGTGCTGTATCACATTGTGTTGTATTACAATGTGTTGATTTTATGTTGAACCATCCTTGCATTCCTGGGATAAATTCCACTTTGTCATACTTAATAATTCTTTTAACATGCTGTTCAAGTCACTTTGCTAATAATTTGTTGTGTATTTTTCATTTATATTCATAGAGAATATTCAAAGAGAACAATGCTTTGCAATTTTCTTTTCTTATAGTGTCTTTATTTGGCTGGTATCAGGGTAATACTGGCCTCAGAATGAATTAGGAAGTGTTTCTTCCTCTTCAATTTTTTGAAAAAGTTTGAGGATTGCTGTTCATTATTCTTTAAACGTTTTTAAAAAATATTTTATTTATTTATTTTTAGAGAGAGGGGAAGGGAAGGAGAAAGAGTGGGAGAGAAACATTAATGTGTGGTTGCCTCTCATGTGTTCCCTATGGGGGACCTGGCCTGCAACTCAGGCATGTGCCCTGACTAGAAATAGAACCAGAGACCCTTTGCATCACAGTCCTGTGCTCAATCATTCCACTGAGCTACACCAACCAGGGCTCTTTAAATGTCTTTGAAAAATCACCAAATGTCTATTTGGTCCAAAGCTTTTCTTTGTTTATTCTACTTAGGGGAAAGTCTAGCGCTGAAGGGAAGAAAATCTTACTGCAAAGCATTTTCTTAAGAGGACCATGTCCAACAAAAGAATTTTCCTGGGGACCTCAACCAATACAACTAGTTCGATCTAATGCTTCACTCATCAGATATGTTTAAATTACTTCTGGTAATTTCCAAACAAATTATACCTCCAAGAGCGGAGATCACCAATCACCCAAATTCCTCCTGCAAGGGCAAAGATTCACAAGATAGTAAGAGGAATTACTTTCAAGATTGCCAGTAGAGTCATTCCAAAGTGACTCTTTGAGGGAGATAACACCGAACTTAAGGGGAAGCTGTGGTTTGTAATCAGACTCATTACTTATGTGAATGGTATGCTCTAGTTCCCTGAAGTTAGGTCCCAGTATAGTGAGTCATAAGTGAACAGCACGCTGTATAGCAGCAGTATTTGAAAAGCTTTAGGTCTGTTTAAAAACCACGTGTGTTTTATTCCTCCTTGTGGAAACTGGGGGTAAAAACAGAAGTTAAAAGCTTGGACCTTGGAATCAGATAGTCTGGGATAACATCTATCGTTGTTATGATTAATTAAATTAAAAGCAGATAAGACAAACCCCAAATTAATATTCCTAGTTATTTAGCGCTTCCCGAACGCCAGCTTTTCCCTTACCTCGATCGAAGCTTTTTCCATATATGTATATATGGAAAAAATTATATATATGTGTCTTTTCTCGGCACTTGCCTCATCAGTACACATAAATGTATTCAGATGCCCATAAACTAGGAAGACCATAAGAGACCAAATGAAAGCCTTTGATTCAACTGCTACACAGTACACAGCTGGGATATTTTGGCTATACAGCTCTAGGAAACAGTACTGGTAGGAAGTAATTGACAGAAAACTAATGAAGAATAATAGTGTCTGCATTTTCTTTTACCCCAAGGCAGGATGGGGGAGGGTATGACTTCTAGGTCTGCCCATTAATCTATTTGCTCTTTTCATCTTTGGGCATGGAAAACCTTCTTCTTGATCTAAGATGGGCCACCCAAATCTGCTCTGTGCCCTTCACTAATTTGATCTCCTCAAAAGCAGCTGCAATCCATTTTCTTTGAATTTTCCTTCCTTTGCTGCATTTGCTAGAATTAGACTCCAAGCCTTTGAGGCAGGACTCTTTTTACTCCATATATAGTTCTTTTGGGTGGTCATGTGTTAATACCAGAATTTAAAACACCTAACTTTATTTGTAAAATTGGTTTTCAGGCTTAAATGGCTCTAGTAAATAAGAAAGGGGAAGATATGATGAGACAAAGACACAGGGCTTGATGTATGGAAAGCTGATTCCATCTTTCAGTGATTACTGTGGAATCACAGCCCCATTTTATAGAGGAGCCTCAGAAAGAGAAAGTGGCCTGGCTGAAATTGAAACCAAACTTTTGCTGACCTCAAAAAATCTCATGCTCTCTTGCTGTCCGCCTCAAATTTGTATTGGGAACAACTGAGAGATGAATCCAACCGATTCGGACTCATAGTTCCTTCACAGTTCCTTGACTCAAATTTTATGGTTTGAACACTATAAAGATCAAGCACAGTGGTAAGGCAAGTGCAAACCGATCAGACATCTGCTATTGATAAACTAACTTTAAAATAAGAAAAAAATATTTCGAGAAGTGATTCAGATCCCAAGATTAAATGTGAGTTTGGCATGAATTCTCTAAATTAGAGTGTATCGGAGAGCAGGCGTTCTCAAGCTTTCTTGATTCGTGGCACCCCTAGGCCAAAGGAAACAGCTAAACCATTCTATTTATTAAGGAGGCAGGCCCTAGCAACTTAACACATATGTATGTCCTCATACGTTATGAAAACTGTTCACAAAAGGAATACATGTGAATTGGAAGAAAAATATTTTTGTTTCATTCTAAAAGCACCGTCATTACGTACTACTGGAAGTGTGCACCTGCCAGGCATTGCACAACCTCCAACCCTGGAGTGAGGCCACCTTCGCATCTCGTTCCACATCGCCATTCACTTGATACTTGCTTTTTATCAAAGCAACTGATGAGAATCCACTTACCAAGATAGAGGATCATCAAAAATGTTGTGAATTCTAATGCTGAAATTATGAACTCTTTTGAGCTAGTAGCAGTTTGCATGAGTTGAACAGATGTTGCCGTGCCGCCCGTGAAAATGTAAGTTATCCTTGATGTTTCTGTAAACGTAACACAGCACCCTGGGGTGCCTCAGGAGCAGGGCAAGTCTTAAGAACACCCTTTTTTCCCCTTTCTTTCTGCCCTTCTCTTCCTCTCTCCTTCATTTTTTCTGGTTTATTTTATAATTATAAAACCTCTTGAAGCTTCATTTATAACTCAAATTCTCTCTTCATGACATAATATACACTGAAATTTCAACCAGAAATGAAGTCAGTAGAAAAGCATATGTTCTGTCTGAAAAACATATGGAAATCTGATGTTTATAGACACATTTCCCAGCAACAAAGCAAAGTTTTTAGCAAAGAATTCTTTACATTCTCATACTCACTATATCACACTTAATGAAGAAGGCAGAAAGAAAGAAAAAAGGGGGGGAGAGGGAAAGTGAGGGAAGGAAGGAGGGAGGGAGCAGGAAGGAAAGGAGGAGAGAAAAGAGGGAGGAAGGAAAAACCTGATGAATAAATCTCCTTCATTAAGTGCATCAGGCACATGCACAATGTTGGAGCAGGACAACACGAAGGGAAGGAATGGGCTGCCCAGAACCCAGGCATCCACATGGTCAATCCTGGATACAGACCCGTTGGCAAAGGTCAAATTGAGGTGGAAAACAGGGGACAAGGGAGAAGGAAGAGTGTACAGCAGAGAAGCGTGGGCTTTAGAGTCAGGCTGTGTTCAAGCCCTGCCTCTATAACTTAGTAGCTCTGGGTCCCTGGTAAGTTACTTAATCTTGTTTTAGATTTTTTTTCAGTAAAATGGGGATAATAATAATAATAATACTATTCCAAAGTTGATTTTTCAGAACTAACACTTGTAAAGTGCACATCAAAATGTCTGCTACCTTTAAGGGCTGGCCAGTTAATGGTTATGAATACAATTAAAAGAGGGTTGACTCAGAGATGGGACACAGCAGAGGTAAGGTCTGCCAAAGAATGCCGCAGGTACAGAGAGAAGAAATAGTGGGTAGAATGGTCAAGTTCATGTCAATAAATGGATCACATCCAGAACTCTCTCTAGGTGGGAATGTAAGTTGGTATAACCAGTTAAGAAAAGCACTTGGCAGTATTTACTAAGGCTGAGCATGTGCAGATGACCCAACCCAGCAATCTAACTTCTAGGTATGTGGTCGGCAAACAAATGCTTATATGTGTACCAGAATACCTGGTTGATGCAGCATTATTCACGAGCCAGAAAACTGCAAACAACGCACTTGAATAGTTCAATATGGTGTGGCATGTTTACACAGCAGAACCCTGTTCCGCGGTGGGAGTGAACATGCTGCTGCTACACACAACACGCTGGGCACAACTCATGGGTGACTCTGGGCAAGGGCAGCGTGACTCAGTGCACGTTACATGGCACCACTTACGTGTAAGGTCTACAAACAGGCAGACCAATCTACGATGTTAGAAATGTGGATAGAGTTACCTTTTGGGGGGCAAAATTAATGTCTGGGGAAGAGCATGGGGAATCCACCGGGGCTGGTTACAATCAGTGTTCACTTTTTGAAAATCTGTCAAGCTGCCCCATGATTTATGTACATTTTCATCTGTATGCTTTCCTCTAATAGAATTTACCTTTAGAAAAAAAATTGGCCAAAGTACTGAAAAAAAACTTGCTGTAGATTGACTATTTGGGACTCCCCCACTCCCAATTGAACTGTTGAAACCCAATACCCAGTATGATGGTGGGAGGCGGGGCCTTCAGGTGGTTATTGGGCCGTGAGAGTGGACCTCATGGACAGGATTCATCCTATTATAAGAAGAGACCCAGAGAGCTCCCTTGCCCTTCCACCACCTGTGACCGCAGCCAGAAAACAGCCACCTACAGACCACAGTACAACAAATCTGCTGGTGCCTTGGTCTTGGACTTTCCAGCCTCTGGAACGGGGAGAAATGAACATCTATTTATAAGCCGCCCAGCCCGTGGTGTTCTATTACAGCAGCCTAGGACAGACCTCTTTGTCAGTTCCCTTTTCAGTAGACAGGGCCATACTAAAAGAAATAAAAGAAGACTTACGAAAGGACTGGTGGTAAGGGAAAACATGAACAGACAATACGAGGGACAATCAGTTATGTTTACATAGTGCAGGTCAACTGTCCTGCCGTGACTGATTCTGTATGAATCGGGAAAGGCTAGGTTTGCCTACAGGAAGAACCCCCACATCTCAGTGGCTGAACACAGCAAAGCTCCTTGTTCTACATGTCTAGCACACGCTGGCGGGAGGCTCTGCTCCTCGTACTCACTTGGGGACCCAGGCAAGGGAGGCTTCTCCCCGGCACGTACATCCACAGATACCCCAGCAGTGGGAAGAGCACAAGGCAGACTGTACATGGGCTCTGAATGTGTCTGCCCTGGACAAAGACATGACCCTTCCACTCCCACCTCCCTGGCCAAAATAGGACACGTGGGCAGCAGGGAGATGGGCCGAAGAGGTGACAGCTGTCCCGACGACGACACTTGCTCTCAGGGGTAGTCCTGCCTATGAGAGAACTCTGTTGTGGACACCCACCGCATATTCTCTCCTCCCTCCCTCCAAGAAGGGGCCATGGAGAAAAGCAAGCTGGACTTCCAGACCACTGCCATCTCCCTTACTATCTGGCACAAATACAGCAACTGATGTCACATATGACCTGCTGCAGGGAAGTGGCCAATTAACTTGCTGGAACAAAGAGCAGAGGCAGCTGCGGCCGAGTCGGGGGTGAGCAACAAGGCAGAGTGGAGAGAATCGTGGATGGCTGGAAGAACCCCTGAGAATCCCCACCACAGTCAGTCATGGGGGCAGTGGGACTGTTAGACGGCTGGGTGTATCATTCTCTCACGGAAAGAAAAGATGAAGAACAGTAGAGAGAAAGGCACAGAGCTAGAGGGGAGGATAAAAATAAATAAGGAGGTGAGAGGAACAGAATGGGGAAAGAATGAGTATGCAGAAATAGAAAAAACTTCCTGTCTCAAACCAGGATAAAGCTTCTCTTATGTCCTATAAAGTGTCACTCTAGGATTCAGGCAGGCTTTTCACTTCTGCTAAATGCACAGCTTTTGTTAAATGCACACCTCACCAGAATCCGTTCTGTTTATTAACTAAGAAGCGAGTGCACGTATCTCAAGAAAGGCGGTGCCCTGCAGCCTCCTCCCCTGTGCACACACCGCTCCCTCCTCTTGCTCAGCAGCCAGGGTGACCCCAAGGGGAGGTCCCCTGCACCACCCCTGGGGGGCACAGGTAGAGCTTTGTGTTTTCAATGAGATTTCCCCTTAGAGTCACATACCAGTTTCAGGAGAAATGTACCAACACTGAAGTTTTAGGTTGTTTTTTCCTTTTTAACTCACCAACTGATGACATAATTAAATTCTAATTTGGATTCCTTACAAGACACATAAAAGGCTGAAACATTTTGAGATAAAAGGAAGAGCTGAACACAGCTGTAGGATTAAAGATGAAAAATGTCCTATGGTAACCACAGAGCACCAATAACTTCTTTAAATTCTGATGATTTGTTTGTTATAGCAATCCCTTTTATTGTGAAAGAAGTCACTTCATTTACTAAAGGCCAATGACGTCAGGTAGGAATAAACATTTGGTGTAATCAGTCCAAATGTCAGAAAAAGGGCACAGCTTGTTTCAAATGAATCCAGTTTTTGAAATTATGTGAGCGCTAAAGAAGTGGGCGATTCCCTGCACTTCTCTGGCTGTTGCTGAGAGTCCTTTAATGGCAGACTCCCCGGTGCATTCCGAAAGCATTCAAGGTCCAAACATAGGTGTTGATATAGACTTTTCAGAAACACATCTGCTGTGAAAATAAGATGCTTGTAACATTGGGACTCCAAACTAAGCATGAAAGAGGAGATACATTTAAAAATGCTTATTAAAGATTGAAAAGTCTTTCCGTGTAAGAAAAAGATGACCAGACCCATTCTGCTGTGCGTCAGGTCCTCACTTGCAGACTGAAGACTTAAGGAGATGCAGCCACTTGCATCTTTGCTAAAAATAAACCCAAAGGAGCTTAGTTTAAAAGCTATGCTAGGCAGCTGTTACTAGGTTGCAGATCAAATGCCAGTGGGCCCAACTCTGTGAGACAGGGTGAGCCTCATTAAAAAGTGTGGCTAAAAAGGTGGCAAGGAGACCAGTATAAATTACTGCTCTTTAGAACTGACATGGCCGCTTTCCTGTTCACTGAAGATTTTAATTAGGAATTTCTTCTTCTTCACAGGTGGTTCACTGAGTTGTGTTTTAATTACAGACCTTGACAAAAAACGCAAAAAGAAGAGCGAACAGAGTCAGGCCGGCGGACAGCAGCAGTGCGCACCCTCGGTGTGGCCGGTGCCACGGTGGCACCGCCCTGGGCCTCGCCGGGGCTCGTCCATCTGCAGCAGCAGCGTGGCATGTGGGGCCCTGGGGCTTTCCAAGCCTGTTTCTGAATTCCTATGAAGAGACAAACAAACATGGAAAAGATAATTTTAAAATGCAAAGAAAGTCCTATTGTGGTATCAAAGTAAGGAGTGTCCAGAAAGGAACTTCTTCTTCTAAAACATTGAGATGTAGCTGACATACAACACCGTATGAGCTTCAGGAGTACAGCATGATCCGATGTTTGTACACACTGTGCATGACCACACAGTAAGACCGCTCAACATCCATCTCCACACACAGTTCCAAAGTTATTTTTCTTGTAATGAGTAGTTTTAGTGCATATTATTTTTATGAGTTAGTGTTTTTGTTTCTGTTGGATATCTTACTAGAAGTGAAATAGCTGGATCATATGGTAGTTCTTTTTTTGGTTTTGTAAGGAACCTCATACTGTTTTCCATAGTGGTTGCACCAATTTATATTCCTACCACGAGTGCACAAGGGTTCCCTTCTCCACATCCTTGCCAGCACTTGCTATGTCTGTCTTTTAAATAACAGTCATTCTAACAGGTGTGAGGTGATGTCTTACTGATGTTTTGATTTGCATTTCCCAGATGATGAGTGATACTGAGCATCTTTTTATGTACCTGTTAGCCATCTCTATGCCGCCTTTGGAAGAATGTCTATTCAGAAACTCTTCATTTTTAATTAGATTATTAAAAATTCTACTCAGTTGTATGAGTTCTTTATATATTTTGGATATCAACCCCTTATCAGATATGCCATATCAAATTTGCAAGTATTTTCTGCCATTCAGTAGGTTGCCTTTCCATTTGGTTGATGGTATCCTTTGCTGTGAAGAAGAATATTAGTTTAACAAAAGCAGGAGCTATCAGACTTCTGGTCAAGATGGCTGCATAGGCAGACATGGCTTGCCTCTTCACACAACCACATTAAAATTACAATTAAAATATAGAACAATATCATTTGGAACCATCAGAAACTGAGTTGAATGAAAGTCTGACAACTGCAAAATTAAAGAAACCACATTCATCCAGACTGGTATAGACACAGAACGGGCTGGTCCCACACTCACATGTGGTGGATAAAAATTCGGGAGGGACATCTCAGCAGTGAAGAGTACTAGCCTCACACCAGGCCTCCAGTGCCAGGAAGATAAGTCCCCACAACTTCTGGCTGCAAAAACACTGGGGAATGAGTTGGTAGAAGAAACTGCTGGAGTCCCAAGCAGTTCCTCTTAAAGAACCCACACACGGACTCACCTACTCACACTCACTCCCTCTGAGCTCCGGCACTGGAATGGTACCAGTGGCACACACGGAGAAACTGAAGTGTCTGGCATCAAGGTGAGAGGAGGCCATTGTCTGTTTTTTAAACCCTCCCTCCACAGAACAACAGAACCACAGAACCACAGGGCCGGCAAGCTGGTGCCATATCTGAAACTCCATTAACCTTCTTAACACTGTTTGACACACCTTGGAGATCCCCAGAGACTCTGCCCTACCCAACTTATGGCCCACCCAAGCTGCTTTTCCATATGAATGGCTGGTCTTGGCTCATTCTTCACAACTTCCTAAATCATCTCAAACAAGCAACAGCTGGTCTCATTGAGCCTCAGGCCTGGCACCAGCAACAGCCAACCTGGATTCACAGCTTGGCTTTGTCTGGGAATCTCCAAGCCCAGAACAAGCAGCAGCCATCTCAGATTGCTTTACAGCTCAGGCAGGGTGGCCCTGGATAAAACACAGGTGGGAAATGACTTTGGCCTGCACCACCTGCAAAACCCCAAGGTTAGTGCACTCGGTGGACAGCTACAGACCCCGTTGGAGCACCACCACTTGCCCCTGAACAGTTGATTCTTCACAGAGGGTGGAGGTTGGTGGTCAGTGACCACAGCTAATCCTTGCAGCTGACTGGCCTGGGTAAATACCTTCCATTGATCTGCCAACATCAACCAAGGTTCAAGTACATGAGGAGGGTGTACTCAGAACACAGGAAGGGCACACCTTGAGTACCCAGCTTGGGTGATAGGGGAGGCTGTGCCGCTGGACCCTGCAGGACACCTACTACATTAGGCCACACTATCAAGACATGGAGTCAAAGCTGCTTTACATGATACATAGAGACAAACACAGAGAGGCTGCCAAAATGAGGAAACAAAGAAACATGGCCCAAATAAAAGAAAAGATCAAAATTCGAGAAAAAAAAAAAAGAGTTTTCCATTCCAGAAACAGAAATAAGCCATCTATCAAATGCAGAGTTCAAAACACTGGTCATAAGGATGCTCAAAAAATACAGTGAGGATCTCAGCAGCATAAAAAAGATCCACTCAGAAACTAATTGAAATAAAGAACAATTTACAGGGAAACAACAGTGGAGTGGATGAAGCCAAAAATCAAATCAATGATTTGGAACGTAAGGAAACAAAAAACAATCAATCAGAACAACAAAAAGAAAAAAGAACTAAAAAAATGAAGATAGTATAAACAGCCTCTGGGACAACTTCAAGCATTCCAACATTTGCATCACAGGGGCGCCAGAAGGAGAAGTGAAACAGCAAGAAATTAGAAAACTATTTGAAAAAATAATGAAAGAAAACGTCCCTAATTTGGTGAAGGAAATAGACATGAATGTCCAGGAAGCACAGAGAGTCCCAAACAAAATGAATGCAAAGAGACCCACTCCAAGACACACCATCATCAAAATGCAAAAGGTTAAAGATAAATAGAGAATCTTAAAAACAGCATGAAAAAAGAAGTTAGGTATCTATAGGGGAATTCCCCCAAAACTGTCAGCTGATTTCTCAAAAGAAACTTTGCAGGCAAGAAGGGACTGGCAAAAAAAATTCAAAGTCACAAAAAAACAGGGACCTACGGCCAAGGTTGCTCTACCCTGCAAAGCTATCTATCATTTAGAATTGAAGGGCAGATAAAGAGCTTCCCAGAAAAGGTAAAACTAAAAGAGTTCATCATCACCAAACCATTATTTATATGAAATGGGACTTATTTAAGAAAAGGAAGGAGACCAAACTATGAATAATAAAATGGCAAGAAATACAAATCTATCAACAGTTGAATCTACAAAACAAACTAAGCAAACAAGAAGAACAGAGACAGAATCATGGATACTGAGAGCATTTTGATGATTGCCAGATGGGAGGGGGTGTGGGAGAAAGGGTGAAGAGGTAAAGGGATTAAGAAGTAAAAATAAGTAGTTACAGATTAGCCAGGGGGGGATGTAAAGTACAGTGTAGGAAATGGAGCAGCCAAAGAACTTATAAGCATGACCCATGGACATGAACAATGGTGGGGGGACTGTCTTAGGGAGTGGGGGGTGCTGGGTGGGTGGGGGGCCAAGGGAGAAAAGTCAGGACAACTGTAATAGCATAATCAATTAATCAATCTATATACATATAAAAGGAGGAGTTACCACTTACTCCTTCAACATTCAAACATTCAAACACCCAATATGTGCCAGATGGCCCCTGGCTGGATGTCACAGTTCCTGTCCTTGAAGAGTCAGACCGAGTGCAGGATCTCCCACATTAGACATGACCTATGTGAGAGAGACGCAGTGCTTACAGAGAGGGAAGACAGAATTCATAAAGAATAGAAGTTCATATGAGGTGGAGTCACATCACAATGCATCCAGTTTTTAGAAGTACAAGCATATCTATTCAACAACAACAACAAAGAAGAGGAGGCAGAGAGAGAAAAAAAGAAACCCTGGAAGCCATTTTATTCAGCAAAAATATACTCCTTACGACAGAAGAGTCCCAGCTGGGCACTGTTGCAGGACAGCTGTCCCCCAACCCTCAGGGGTCTGGGAGGGGTCCGGGTGGCTAGAGGCATCCATCCCCACACGCAACCACTCCGTCTACCGTGATCGTGGAAATGGCCGGGAAACCCTACTTGGGCGGAGCGTGAGAAGCTAGGGGACGTGACCTCACTCCTTTTTAGGTAGCCTCTGTTCCCTGATGCCGTTTAGCGGGGAGGAGCACTCCCACGGGAAACCTGGCCACTCTCAGCCTGGTTCTAGTGTTTCAAAGTGCAGTTTGGACTCCATTTGCATTTCTACCTTATGAACAGGCTTTAGAATCAGCGCCTCCCTGGTAGAGACCTGAAGAACACGTTGAGAGCTGGGGTGGGGTGGGGAAGGGAAGTACCAGATGGAAGAAACATCTCCCGCCCCAACGCAGCACACCACAGGCGTATCTGTGGAGGAACAAGAAATCCACGGAGGCACAAAGTGTTTCTGAATGGCCATTTCGCTGCTCAGTCTTCCCTTCCAAGCTCTCCAGCAATCTCCTGGTGACACCGTGGGTCCTGGGTGGGAAGTGGGGAGTTGCAGCTCACCATGCACGCACAGTAGAAGCATTGGAACTGCACTGCACAGAAAGAAATCTCTTTGGTAGGAAGACAGAGAGTAGGCTGAGGGGTGGTGGAGAGAATGGGGCAGAGAACGCAGTAGCGAGTAGTGGCGACTGGAGAGATGGGGGGTGAAGACACCCTATGTTAGGACAATGGCAGAAGGATGGAAGGGAGAAACAAAAGCCTTTTGATGGAGAATCAACAGGATTTGAGTTTAGATGACTGGGCAAATAATAGGAATGGGGAAATAAAGATGATTTTTACAAACCAATCTCCACCAGCTAATATTTACATGTAATAGATGTGGAAGAATTCTTGTTTTGACTGTAGGAGACTAACTGAAAAATTAATAAAGCTGTTAACCACAAGGGTAAATCTCCCAGCGGGACGGCAGTCAAACCATTATTGCTTCTGTGCTTTGAAGGTGTCTGGGCCTGAGGGCACTCCTGGGGGCCTCGGCACTGTGAGCCCCGCTCAAGAGGCAGGCACCCTGCGGGACAGAGGGGGTCCGCTTCCCGGCAGCAGTGGAACCGGCAGGGGCTCAGTGGTGCGCTCAATCGGCCCCGCCCTGGGAGGCCATGCTCCTGTGTGACTGGCTTTCTGCATGGTGTTTTGGAGCTGGAAACGTGTTGACAAACTTTCATTTTAATTGACTAAAAATAGCCCCAAGGTCTCAGAGACAGC